AAATGGAGCGTTAAGGTGGTTGAGTTTTTAAAGAACCTCAATTTTGCAGTCCCAAAACATAATTACATTTATAGCAGCTGAGAGGAATGTTCATGGCAAATGTGCTTTTAGTAAGTATTCAAAATATCCCTGTATGGTATTGTGCTGCATGCCTGAGGAGGACTTCACCCCGAGAATTCTGCTAAAACAATAGAAATAGATTTGTAAATACTTTTAATTCACTTTTCTCTGTGGGTCATATTATTTAGACATTGCAGGAAGGCAAACAAGACTCATTTATCAATGAAAAGGATTTGAAAGCTAAGACCGTAAGAGTTTGTGTCAAAGATGCGTTTATCCAAGCTTTTTGGGCTAGCTGCACATTGTGCAAAGATTCATCCAGTCAGTGTTATGTTACAGAGAATAAAAGATGTAACTGAAACAAGCAGTTTTGCTCCTAAATTCCTGTGTTTACATTTATAGTATTTTTAACAGCTGGAAGAAAAATATATTGATAATGGAATGGGAATAAAGCTGAAATTGTCATTTTAGTGAAATCAGGTTTGATCCAGTTTTGATTTTATATTTTCATATTCATGATGCATGATGGTTCTCTAAATCTTACATTTGCAATTGTGGTTTACATTTTTACTGATAGTGTGAAAAGTTCAGTGAACAGAGGTTTGGGATTTGGGAATACATTTGTAAAACCTGTTTTATCTTTTATGTAGGCTCATCAGCCAAGACTGCACAAAAATATCCCTTCTGTGAATTCCAAACTGAAAGTTATTAAACATCTGATAAGGTTTGTTAATTATTTGTTTATTTATTTGTTTATTTGGAATATTTAATGTAACTCTCTTCTAGTCACAGGACTTCACTAAACAAACTCTTTTGCCTGTAGAATAAAGCCACTGAAACTACCCTACGGATTGCCAACAGAAGAGGAAATACCCGGCACCTATCTTACAAGCAAGGGAGAGCTTATCATTAGACAGCGTCTGAAACCTGTGGAGCAGAAAGAAATTAAGTCATAAGGTGTGCTGGTTGGATTTATAAAATGGATTTTATAAAATTCATTTATAAAATGAATACCTTAAATCCTGAGTTAAGAGTTTGTATATGAAATGTAAGAAAATACTTAACCCTGTCTGGTATGAATGGCAGAGGTGACACTGATGCTTAAAGAGTTGTACAGATAGGAAATTCAATGTTGTTAATAGTTGCCTGAAATATTAAATGACTTATAGGCTGTATGTCTTTGTGTTTTAATTTTGTGACTAGATTGCTGCAGTTAATGGCTAGCTGTAAGAGAACTTTACTTATAAAGTCAGATAAGCAGAGAAGTGAGTAGAATAGAGGTAGCTAATGATGATGAGGATGTTTCCCAGCTAACAGTAAAGGTTTACCGTGATGATGCAGGACTTTACTTTCACTGCAGAAGGGAGGAAACTGGAACTGAAAAGTGCTCTGGTTAGCAGTCACAGGAGAATTGACTGGCTATCCACGGAGAGTGTCAGGCATTTGGATGACTTGCCTTGGTTATCCAGATCTCAGGCTTGTTCCTCAGCAAAGAATCTCCCATCTGGCTTCCCTGTAACTTAAAAAGTACAAGAACTCTCCATTTGGGAGTAACAGGAGTTATTCATATCTTGGTAGGTTGTTTAATTTGTCTTCCAGGAAACATGCTATCTCACTTCATATGTATTCCCTGATCCTAAATGTACAATAATAGCCTAAGAGCTGCTGTTTATGTGAAAGTTGATGCTTTTCCTGTTCTAAAATTGCAAACCTTGGAAGTCTGGAGCCCCTGAAGTATGCCTCTTTGACACGAGTTAGGAATTATGGGCTGCAAGCTTGTAGAAGACTACTCTGTGTAGTTTTATTTAAAGTTTTAAGAATTGTGGCCAAAGTTATCAAGCTGCTGCCGCGTCAAATGATAAAGTAGTTTTCATTCCAGCGAGCCTTAATTCCATGGTTTAACACACTGTGAGCCTCTCCACACTAGACACCCTGAAAAGGAGTTAACCTTAATGACTTTATGTTGTGAGAAGATCAGAGGGATACAGTCGCTGAAAATGAGTGTTTATCCTGTCTGCCTGCTTGCAGAGAGGAGTAAACACCAGTAGGAGTTCAAAGCAGTAGACAGACATATCAGTACAGGGAGATAAAAGCTGGAGGCACTGTGCACAGAAGGAAAAGGGTAGGCTGTAGTGGCACTCAAGAGTGTAATGGCCTCTACAGGCAGGCTAAAGGCAGAAATGAGAATTTGAGCTGAACTAGAATAGCATGGAAGAAGTGAAGCAGATAAATGAACGATGCTTTTCTTCCCTCCCTCTTTCCCTCTCTTCCTCCCTCCTTCCTTCCAGCGTCTGCACAGCGTCTTGTGCTGCAGTATGTTAGAACTGCAGTCTCTGCGAGGTGTTGATCACGTTCCCATGGGGAGGTGCTTAGTACAAGCTGGAATTTGAACCCTTTTGAAGGAGTGTGTAGCACACCCAAGGCTTGAAAGAGATGGCACAAGTACTAGGGCCCAGAAAATGATCTTTGGATCAAATGGATCTTGTTGCTGGTGGATAGCAAATAATAAGGCTTGTGCCGGGACTGGAGTTCCAGAGCACCAAAGCCGGGATGGCTCAGCCTTAGCAAGGACGTTCGGGTTCGGGTCCGTGGCACTGCAGGCTGGTGAGCCTCCGGCAGAGGGCGCGCTAACAGCTCCGTCCTGCACGCTGTGTGTATGGATACGGATACGGATACGGATATGGATATGGATGTGAATCTTTTGTTCATTGCACGGTACAGATGCCACAGCCCACGAAAGTACTGCAGGGTGTTCTGGAGGGAATGTGTTAATGAACAGGCTTGCTTGGTACCATGTAGGGCTTCAAAAGTGTGTGATAAACTACCTCAGTTAAAGCAGAGGTACTAACTGCTTCCCAAGTACAGAGAAGGGAACATACATAGTATCTGTTATTTCTGGGAAAGATTTAGGTACAAGAGATGCTTACAGAGGTCTTTAGTTGACAACCTGACAGTTTTAATGAAAAAGGAAATTGTACTTCCTTAATATGTTCTGTTTGGATGTTTCTGAAATAGTATTTCTTCCAAGGTCATGAATGTCATATGGTCAGTCTGCTATCCCAAACCTTTTCTATATAAACACACATTCCCTAAAGATTTTCTCAAGTCTAAAACCTGAACGAACAAAGTGTACAATCACAGTGTATGTCCACACCCTTTCATTAATGAAGCTTTGTCAATGCTCTGTGTCGGTCTTTATGAAGCACAGATAAGAGACACTGCCATGTTGTGCAGGGAACAAACAGACTGACATAAGATGATCACAAAATTCGGGTTGGCAGGTACCTTGTAGGTCTCTAGTCCAACCTCCTGCTCAATGCAGGGCCAGTGCTGAGGTCAGACAAGGTTACTCAGTAGTTTGTCCAGCTGGGTCTTGAAAACCTCTGAATCTTGAAGCCCTCAGGACAGGGACAGCTCAGCTTCTCTGAACAGCCTGCACTGCTGTTTTGAACTGCTGTTAGACAGAGGTATTGGCAGATAAAATGCAAGGTAGATAAAATCTTGTTAAGCGGTGTTATAACTTCTGTGCAGCGTTAATTTGCTGCTTGAGAAACTGCAGGCACAGATGAAAACTCTGAATATGCTCCTGAAGTAAGATAAAAAATGGCAAGAGAGAGGTTGCAGTTTGGATTATTAGCAGTGTTATCTTTTAAGTTTTAGCCTTAGCTGAAAAAAAACCCATTGGAATCTTGTACTTGTTTCTGGCTTTATTGCTCCCCCTCATTCTTACTGTTTCTGAGGGAGAAATCCAGGTTGTTCTTAATTAGAAGCAAACTATGAATCAGTGACTCTAATCATTATTCAGAGATCTCAATATCCAATTCTCTTATAGAAATTGGCTCTTGCATCCACATTATTGGCATAGTTGTGTGTTGTGCCAGTATCCATTTCGTTGTAGTTCTGGACATTGTTAGCTTCTATATTATTCCACCTGAAATGAAGAGTGAAAGAAACACATAAACAGAGGTGCTACTTCATTAGTAAATAAGCAAACAAACAAAAATCACAGTTGAAATGCACTGCTTTAGTTTATCCTCCCTTTTCACCAGCACTGTTGGCCATAACATTTCCAGCTCTTTTTGTCACAGAGGTGTTCCTTTTGTGTTTTAACTTTGTGAAGAAATCATAATTTCCTCATTTACCTCCAGACTTGGTGATCATTGTCCCCTTCCTGTATTTTGCTAATGTTAACATCTTTAGTTTTATGACTATTTCCTTGTGTACATATTCCTTCATGCCCATCCACATTAATAATGTGTTTTTACTGTAGTTGGAGTGAAGGGACCCAACTGTAAGGACTGCTTCAGAGTAATCAGTGATAGGAATATAACTATATTTTCCTCCAGAGAGGACCATACATTTTCAAAATTAGTGTGTTCCTCCTTCAGAGTTGCCAGGATAGGCAACCAGGAGAGGTTACTTTTTGTAGATGGGTAGTAATATGAACAGAGGGACTGGGATGTGTTTAGTTTTCTTCAGTGCTTGGTTTTACAGCATTATTGTACTTGGCTTTACGTGTGTGAAGTGTTTCAAAGCTGACAAAACTCTACCTTTGAGGTTCCTTTGTCCAAGCTGGGGATTTTTTCTGAATTTATAATCCTGTGTAAAATCTCTGTGTTTTATGCTAAGTACTCTTCAGTGTCCCATGACTTGCCAGTCTTACAGTACCGTTTGTGAGCCTGAAAGTGAGGCAGCAGTATCAGCATTCTAGAAACCCCAACCCCACTGCTTATTTATCCCACTCTTTATCCAGAGATCTTTATTGCTTACAGGTTGCTTGTGTTCATTTTGATTCCTAATTTCATGATTTACCTCTTTTGTGACTGTAGAGAGAGGAAACAAGCACAGCTCAAGGTGCAGGTGAAGTGCAGAAGCAGATGTGTGAAGGGCAGACTGTTGGGGCACTGAAGAGGAATTCCTGCCTCACTTGCTTGTTTTTCAGAGCCTTAAAAAAACAACACGGCTGCTGTTGTAAAGGTGACAGTGTGCAGAAAGCAGAATGACAGCTGCTTCATTGTTTCCAGGTGCAAGGTGACTGCTCCTTTCCTCCCCAGCTGCATCAAGAGTGGGAAAATCTGTTTTCTCTAAGAATCTCCCCTGGATCTCTGCCCCAGTCCTCCTTTTTCTCCTGCTTCTGCTCCTCTTATCCTCTTGTATGGGATAGTAAAGCATAAGTCTGAGGGGGCTGGAGCTGTTACAACAGCAGATCCCAATGTGTGTGGCAAATGTTTAGGGATTTTACGGATAAGGATACAACTTGACGAACAAGTGAGGCACAAATGTAGGCATGAATAATGAAGTAAGATCCCTCACTAGCCAGGCCCCTATGGGGCATAAAGTGTAATTAACCTGGTGATGTAGTAGCTGCAGCCTGCAGGCCTCCGTGCTCAGCTAAAAAAAGTGCTTTCTGAAACAGGACTTATTATCTAAATGTGAAATAGGAGCAGTTAATCTGTTCATTCCCAAGGGAGTGCTGGGAAGCAATCAGTAGTTTCACAGTGCAAGAGCAGTCTGCTCATGGCCTGGCACTCACTGGGGTCCTTCCCGGGTTCTGGCAGCTGACAGTCTGGTCAGCACTGGCTTTAGTGTGGCCACAGAGTTGGCTGAAAAGGCTTAGTGGGTTGCCTTTCAACAGGGCCCCTGCTTCAGATGAAGGATGAGATTTGTGCTTTCAAGGAAGTTGACTATAACTGCACTAAACCAAATGCATTTCCATGGTCACCCCAGCCATCCTTCAGCACTGCCCCAGCATGTGACTCTTGAAAAATAATACCAGCAATCAATCACGGCTGGAGCAACACACTTACCATTGCCAACTTTTGCAATGTTGGCATGGTATTTCTCCATGTTCCTCAAACTTCTTTCTGCAGTCTTCTCTTGAGGTGTGAAATCCTGCGACATGACATGCATGACTTTGCCTTTCATTTTTAAAATCCAAACCCAGTTTTTATAAGTCATTATGACTGAGCTGACATTTTGAATCCTTCTGACTCTGTTTAGAGAGAAACAATGATACAATGGACTAATTTTGCTGAAGGCAAAGTGCCCTAGAAATCAATACACAGATAATATAAAAGACATTTTATTCAAATACAGAAGGCGGTTCTCTGGCATGCAGACTAGAAGGTGGTTCTTTTAAATCTAAACCTTTGGATGGCATAGTCCCAGATCTAATGCCTTTTAATTTAGGACTATAATGGAGAAATGTTCAGAAGCTCAGCTCATGAGGGAAATCCTCTTAAGGGAGGTGGAAAAGCAGGTTTGATGGCAGGGGTTGGATGCACCCAGCAGACCTTCATTTTCTCTGTGATGGTCTTAAATATCATCTCAAAGGCAACTCTATTCCCAACGTAAACTTGCATGCTCAAGTGGGATTTTTGTTGGATGTGGGAAAATCTATTTACACGGCAATGGCTGACAGAGACCGGGATCCGTAATAGGCATGAGCTTTTGTGTGAGTGTAAGGGGAGATGAACAGCTGAATTAGTGCCTACCTACACAGCTCAGACCTTCTGTTTTCACGGTTGGCTCCAAAGCTCCAGTTGTGTCAACATTCAGAAAATTCCCATAACGCTCCGAGCAGCCTAAGAGCCGTATTTACAACCAGATGTCAGGCCAGCGCAGTGCGTGACTCATGCTGCTAAAATGCTTTCAGATCCATGACTGAAAGCCATGGCATCACTCAGATACTCGTGCTGGCAGGTGCGGTCATGGTGCATCTTGTTGGCTGTGGAGAGGATTACCTCTCGGTCAGGCCAGCCTAAAGCCGCTGTGGAGTTGTGAGGTGAACTGGTGCTTTGTGCACAATTCATCTCCCCTAATTTTGGCTTGCCTAAAACTTAGATGTCTAGTCTAAGCTTATGACTTGGGCTGCCCACGTGGCCAGTGGAGAAAGGCACCTCAAAAAGCAGTTTTTCTACTCCTAAATAAAATTTAAAAAAAATAAAATCAATGAGAGTCAAGAGAAATCCTACCCTACTGACTGGCTCCAGCTTGCTTTTCCAGAGCTACAGTGAACAAGAAAATCGAAGAGAAACATCCTTCAATTACATCCATTACAATTGATCTGACTTGCAGATTGTTTGTCTTGCAATTTATCTGCATTTATCTGTTGTCAAAACATGCCATTGCAGGAGGGAAAACGTGCAAACAGCAAATGAGAGGAACAATGCTAAGCCGATCCCAGCAGTTAATAGAAAACAGAGTTTGGTACAGTGAATTATCTACAAGAATATTAGACAAACATCACAGACCTGACATGTTTGCTGCAAGATGTCTCCCCACCTTCTCACCACACTTCCTGGAGACAAATGGGCTTTTTGTCTACTGGTGGAATTCTGGAGCAGCTGGCTCAGTGCACTCTTACCACACTCACTGGTCATACAAGAAACAGAAATGCCTAACAGCTTGTTGTGTATCCTCCCAAACACAACAGGGTTTCTGCTTTTACAGCACAAACACAGTTTTGATTTAAAAAATGAAATACCTTTTAATTTAATTTAAGGCCCCGCTGCTAACAGTTTGGAACTAGAAGGAGCCTTGTCTGAAAACAACTGCTCCCCTTCAGTTCTTGGAAGCAATAATGTGCTGACAATGGGAAAATGAGAACCTGCACTTCTGGACAGAATCAAGTTTTCACAGGCAAAGATCCAGGAACAATAACATGACCAGAGCTGCAACTGCTGAGAATTCGGATATGCAGAGACTATGCCAGGTCCCTGTTGTTATCCCCTCTTGTGCAGAGACAACAAAGGTCAACAACCCTAAATTAGCAGCAGTGTGGATTTCAAAGCTACTGTAGCTGTGCAGCAGTAAGGAAAAAAGCCACTGGGTGGCAGAACTTCCCACAGCAGAATCCATCCTGATCCGCTTCTCCCCCACGGTAGATTTGTGTGAAATGCGGTTTCGCTCTTTCAGCAGCTCTTTCACATTTTAAGCTGGGGGATTCGTCCCGTGTCATTGCACTGAGAGATTCAATTCTGTAAGTTTTTCCTGTACCGTTGGTACCTCCCATAGAGAACCAACTGCAAAAAGTCACAGCAACCCATGTATGGGGCTCTTCGTGTTCATGATTATGAGTGAGCGTAAAGAAAGTTGAAACAGAAGGAAGTACACCTGGCAGAAAGGAAAATAGAAGATATATGGCTCAAATGAAGTGACATTAAAAAATCTGAAAATTCAAATTACCAAACAGTAATCTCCAAATGGTCTGTGCTACCGTTCCCTTATTGCTGGGAGAGAAACATAGAGGATGTACTGGTTTGCTTCTACGTCACAGTAGTTGAGGCAGGTTGGTAGATCTCCCATGTTCCCAGAAATTTTTGCCTAATCATATATGCATACAGGAAGTCTTACATGTCCTGGGAAATTTTTTTCTCAGTAAACCTGTATTTGGACTACTGGGGAATGCTGCTCTCCTGAGAGGACAGGCCATGGGGCACAGGATCTGCAAGGGGTTCTGTCATTCCCTGTGATGGAGAGGAGGTGAGGTCCTGCCCGGAACTCTGTGCCCTCTGCCCAACTCTCATTCTACAATGCTCACAGTGGGACCTGAGCACTCTCTATTCTGACAGCTCTAGCATCAACCAAGATTTTGGGGAAGGGGTGAGAAGGTGCATCAATGTCTTCTCCTTCCCAGCTGCTTGGGACAAGGCAGCAAGAGATGCCAGGTTTACCTAGGGGGGCAGTATGATCTGGCAGCACAAACATGGAGTACATGAGGTGATTCTTCCTGACCATGCAAAACAGCTTGAAAATCGATTACCCATCACTGGCACGCATGAAGACATGAATATATCTCACTGCTTGCCAAATAAACACAAAGAAATCCTTTCCAAGCTGATGGGGTATTTCTCTTGGTTGGTTAGGCAAAGTGACAAGAGGAGTCACATCTCTTTGCATAAGAGGCCTCAATGGCAGCTCTCCTGCTCCAGCACAAACCAGCCTTCAGCTGTCCATGAAAGACTTGTGACTTCGTGAGACACTCACACTTCTGCTGCTGTTTCAAATGCATCTTTTACAGCAGCTTGGTAACTTCCTCCAAACTTCCTTAAACTCCAATGTTTAATTCAGGAAAAAGAAAATCATTGATGTTCTGTAATGTTAAAATTAGTAATGTTTAGTGCTGTGCTCCCACCGTGAATGCTTTTATTCCCTGCCCATGTTCTGTATACCAACCTCCTTTGCCACACCTGGGCAGTTTTACCCAAATACCCTGAGACTTCCTTTATGCTCAGCTAGCTCTTCAGCCTCCATACAGAGCAACCTGACAGTCCCGCTACTGAAATTTTTTGTGTGTGTGGTAAGTGTAGGCCACCTACCTGTAGTACATACAGCAACAGCCATGCTGATCCATTCAGTGCCAGTGTCCATGCACTATCAGTAAGGAGGTATTCACTGGTCACAGGAGTTGCATGGGAGAGACAATTCTGGTTTACCCAGAAGCCAGGTTGCAGGGCATTGGATCAGATCTGGTACCAGCTCCTCTTTACTCTTCTCTCCTGCATCTGGCAGGAGGGAAGGACTGCCTCTGGCAGTTAAATGCTTCAGGGCGGACATCTGTGGGATAATCTGGTCCTCTATATGGCCCCTGTGGCTCAGGCGTGCAGACATGTCTTGTTAGAGATTGTCCCCATTTCTAAGGAAAAGGTACAAAAATATGTTTCCAGGATTTTTATTGTTATGACAGGAACTCCTGATTTCTGTAACCCTGCACATATCCAAACCTCTCCTGAACTTTGTCAGTTGCTTGATCTGAATCAACTGAGGGGTGCATGAATACGTAGGGAATTCATAGAATAAAACCTGATTTAAATGACAGAAACGAGTTAAATTTCTCCTTTCCTGCCTTGCAACAAGATACTGTTCCAGTTCTTGGAGTGTTTGTGGAAGGCTGAGGGTTGCAGCAGTAGAGTCAGGTCAGTCAAGTCCTCACTGAGTGGGTTTTTTCCTGTTTTTGAACATTTCTCTTTATTGCTAATTAGCTTAATAAGGCGTGGGTAAGAAATGAGTGATCCTAGTTATACTTTCAGGGGAGAAACTAGGCTGACATCAGCTTCCCAAAGCAATTAAACCTATTTAAGCTCCGGGAGGTTAGCCAGCCCATATCAGGAAGGCAGGATACTCTGGGTACTGGGAGCAGGTCCCTTGTCCCAAAGCTGCATGATGGCCTCAGAGAGAGATGCAGGGGCTTGTAGATGATTGAGACATGAGAAACTGGCAAAACTTCATGGAGGAGAGAAACAGCCTAGAAAGGTAGGCTGCACCTGAGCTGTAACACAGGCAACCTGTGTCACTGGAAATTGAAGAGCTTCTAAGGGAGCATTTCCACTAGAAGCAGGGGAAAGCTGGCCAATGCAGAGGACTACCCAGTTTGATCTGATGTGATCTAGAAGGTGGACATGGCTGACATTCAGTTTACCTCCGAAAAAAAAACAGGAGGGAAATAAAGAGCACAATCCCAATAAATGAGACAGACAAAATAGGCAGGATACAGTGGCAAGGGTTTGGCACATGCAATGTTAAGCAATGAAGTGAGGGCAAACTTAAAACTCCTCCTATACTGTTGCTAAAGACTTCAAAATCAAGCCAGGAGAACCCAAATTCCTGGTGCCAAGTAACAACCCTGAGATAGCAGGCATTTCATAGACTTGGGGGCTAGAAAACCAACAAGACACGGCATTGCCAGCCTCTGGAATTACGGAGTAGGATGCAGAGGTGGATGAGTGATGTTGTATGTGAAGGATAAAAATGTCACAACATAAAAAATATTACAGGAAAAGAGAAGCATCCCTAAAACCTGTGGGTGGAAATGCCAGTCACTATTAATAAAAACACTGTAGTAGGACTATACTGTCAATCTTTTTGAGTTCAAAAAGTGTGGTCAGTGGGGCCAGAGAAGCAGCAAATACAGGATGGCGGTAAGAATGGATGGATCAGTGTCTTGTCAGGATGAGATGCAGAAGTGGAATTTTTGGTTGCAATAGATCCCTGCTTCCAGGAAAAGCTGGTTCAGGAACCCACAGAAACAACCACTAGAGAGTGGCATGGCTTTGTTTGAGGGGTGTTAGTGGGAAGCGGCTCTGAGGTTGTGACCCTACCAAATGATCACTTTTAACATTGGAATGGGTAAAAGCAGGTCCTGTGCAGCCAATATGGGTGTGTTCGGTTTCAAGGAAGACAATGAAAAACTGAGGCAAACATTAGAAACAGTCACTCCCAACTGCAGCACTGGCTCCACAGGTGTCCTTAGGATCACAGACTGGTGCCTGTCCTGAGCAATATAGGAGAGTGTATTAAAGATTATTGGATTGGTGAATAAACCTGGTCAGTTGAGAGACGGTCAGCCCAGCTCCCATAAGGAGCAAGCCTGCCTTGATTCCTGGTGGTGTTCTGGGATGATGTCAGCAACTGCATGGATAAAGGCCAGTGGGTGAAGTATAGCTGGGTCTTCAAAAAGGAATTTAGGAAGATTCAAACTGGCATTATCAAGGGACCTAGGTGTGTCTTTGCCACCCAGGAGGCTGTGGAGGCCAGTGGCACCAGAACATTCCCAAAGCAACTGGATGGATTCATGGACAGCAGTGCCATACAAAGGGTGGACGTGTCTCCCACCCCTTGTGTTAAACAGCTGGGAATGCTGAGGGCACAGGAGGAAAATGAACTGTAGAAAGCAGCCAAGTTCTCCTGCTGCTACTGGAGACAGACTTTGGGGTGACCAATCACCAGTATCACCCACGTGGCATGTCCTATAGTCATCTGACACTTCTGGTTTAAAGGGGGGCTGGTGTTGCCTTTTCTGGCCTGGATAAAACATGAGGCTTTTTTTTATTGGGAAGAAAGTCCCACAAGATGAGACTAATATTTTGAGGGGTTGAGCTCAGTGTGCCCAAGGCAACCACTAGAGAAGCCCTGTCCTGTGAGCAGGTCACTGGCCAGGAAATCCCAGCTCACTTTTTCAGTGAGTAATGAAGCGGAACAAATGCAGTTATTCAGCACTGCATTGCTGTGGCTGACAATTCCCTTTGTTTTCTGCATATCGCAGGGAGAGGGACATGGACACGTGGTTTAAACTGATCCAACTCCAGCGTTCACAGTCAGCCATCAGAGCAATCTGTTCTACCACGTGGCTTAGGGCTCTGGCCCACGGGGACTTGTTTTTGATAGTGGTTTCCTGCTGCTTCAGTTACTGCCGAAACAGGTTGTTTAATTGGTCCCTCTGCTTGGTGTCTATGAAAGCCAGTCATTGCAGCCCCAGACTCCAGACAGATCCCTGCCTGAGCTAAGGAGGAATCAGCCCCTACCACCTGCAGCTTAACAAGTCTATGAGAGAGGAAGCTTGCTACCTCATGTTTGCTCTTTATTGTAGGAAACACATTTAAGCATCTTTCCCAGTACTGACATCAGTTGTGAAAACAAAACACAGGACCCTAACAGAGAAGGATTTTCTTCCCTGTCTGTAATTTTTTTGGTTTTCTGGCTGCTGATTCTGATGCAGCAATGTTAGCCTGGAAAGGTCCTTAAACACTACCTACTGCATTTCCCCTTCCTATAGCAGTATGGCGATAAATAGTATAGGTTTAAATTAGATATTAGGAAGAAATTCTTTACTGTGAGGGTGGTGAGGCACTGGGAACAGGTTGCCCAGAGTTGTTGTGGATGCCCCATCCATGGAAGTGCTCAAGGCCAGGCTGGATGGAGCTCTGAGCAACCTGGTCTAGTGGAAGGTGTCCCTGCTCATGGCAGAGGAGTTGGAACAAGATGGTCTTGAAGGTCCCTTTCAGTTCAAACCATTCTGTGATTCTTTATGATGTACAGCTACTTTTACATGTTTCTCATGGTTTTGCTGGTTCTTAGAAACTAAGTAGGAATTTTTCCCTTCCCCCTGCCCACTGTGTGCAGAGCTGTAGAGTGGGTACTTAAGGTGCACAAAAGAAGCTGGCTTCTGGTTAATTGCTCAGAATCTCCTCTCCTGGGAAACAGGAGGGGGTGTGGGGGGAGGGTGTGAGGAGCTCTTCATTACTTTTTTCCTTTCCTCTCCTGGGAAACAGGGGGAGGAGGATTTCTTTTGGGTTTTTGGGGGGGGGGGCCTGGCTGCAGAGACTGGAATGGGGTCAGATGGAAGCTCAGTGGTTCTTTCTGTTCTCAGCTTGCTTGTCTGCTGTGGATCCTGCTTGGATTTTTCATCAGAGAGGAGCTGTTATCTGGAGGTTTTTTTTCCCCCTCCCCGTTCCTGTTTGTTTCTTTCCTGGCGGTGGTCCTTGTGCACGTCAAGGGGAGAGGGTGGATTGTACGGCGTGATTGGACCAGCCAAACAGAGTGAGTTTTTGGGTTTTTTTCCCACTGGGGAGGACTTTCTTTTGTTGTTGTTTCTCTCCCCTCTCTCTCTCTCCCCTTTCCCAGTGTGTGAGGGAGAGGAGGGAAACCCAATTTTTTTTTTTGTTTCTCCAACACGCCCCAGTGTGTGTTACACTGAAGTGGCAACAACCAGTGATTCCACAGCACCCCCTGCTGGTCAGCATAAAGAACTGCAGGCTCTGCATCTCCAGTGATCCAATGACACCCCCTGTTGACTGTGGTTAGAATTGCACCAAAGGGCTCAAACTAAACTGTTTACCTTTTTTTTTCTTTGCTTGTTTATTGGTTTGTTTTGAAGGGGATTATCTGTGGGTATAGGAGCATTGTTTGGTTGTTTTGCTTGTTTTCTTTCATTGTTCCTGCCAATATACATATACCTTTTAATAAAGGGCTGTTATTTTTCCCTTTTCCATATTTTTTTTCCCTCAATCGGAACCTCTTAATTTCAGATTTATAATTGCTTAGAGGGAGGAGTTTGGGTCTTTTTCTCATAACTCATCCTGAGCAAAACACCTGTTAGATAAAGACTTTGGTTGGTATGAGGTGGTTTCTCCCTACCAAGTCAGGCTGCCAGAACCCTCCAAAGTTTTGCTGCTTTGTTGTCCCCCAGGATCTCTGAAGCAACCATTCAATCCTTTAACATCTTCCTCAGTGTTGCAGGCAGATGTCCTGCAATGTGATTCCCTGGACCTTTCTTTACCCTCTAATTTGTCTTTTCTCTTTCCTTACCTGAGCTTCTGCTTTTGTCTGATATGTTACTTGGTATTAGATCATTTGCTTTGCAAGACGTCAGGGTTTTTTTTCAGTGGGCTGTGGGTCAAAAGGTTGACCAAGAGCACAACTGCAGCTGTCCTGTCCACACCAGGCAGAAGAGTAACTTCCAGTAACATGAACATAGGTGACTCGAGAAAGATGACAGAGAACAGCAATCTGAACTCGTTGTTTATCAGGAAAACTTTTGCTCAAATCTCAAGGTAACATGCCAGTGTTAAACTTTCCTAATTATTTACTACTTCCTACCAATTTATCAAGTTTCAACTCATTTTCTGCAGAGGTTTTCTGTATTTACTGCAAGGTGCTGATACCCTAAAACAATATTTGAAACAAAATATGATATTCCCATAACTGGGAATTTTAAATAGACTTAAAAAATAAATAATCCTTTGTGGTGATGCTGCACAAGTCAGCAGGCAAGTCTGCAGGCCCTTGGGTGTTGCTACAATAACTTGAAGCAGCAGCTTCATGGGTAACACTCGTGTAAATTGGACTCCTGAGGAGCTCACTGGTCTGCAGGGATGGCACCCCCAGTAGTGGTGACAAGGAGCTTACTGGCAGTGATTGAAGGCAACCAAAGGAAGCTCCACTCTGGTTCACTCTCCAAAGTCAAACCCCAACTTTTCACACATAGGCAGCAATGAGGTTCCCTGCCCCACTTGAAGTTTATATTGATCTACCAAAAATGCATTCATAGGCTTTATGTAAGAGTTTTATATGTATATATATATATATATATATATATGTATAAACATATATATATATATTTAAATAACATATATAACATAGAGGTTTACGTAACATAATGCACCAAAGGCTTTATCCTATGAATTTTATCTAAGCTAGGTAAGTCAAGTAGAGGGGATCAAACCATGTGATAGGCTTCATACATTCATATTACAAAGTAACAATTTTAGAAAAATTATATTAATGTAGTGCAGAATTCACTGAAGACTGAATAATATATAGTTCAATACCTATGGTTGCTCAACACTGAACTGTTTACTGTAGTCTTAAAAAAAAAAAAATCAGTAATATTTGAGACATTCTAGACTTCTGTTTGGTCTCCAGAGGTGATAAAAGGAGTTTGTGAATATGTTAATGATGGAGAGTCCTTGCTGTGACAGAAAGCAGATAAGTGACCGGCAAGACAAGGAGCACAGCATTAAAAGCTGTCTCCAAACCAGCTCTCACACTTTCTGTCTTGCCCCTGCCTGGAAGCCCATGCACACACACAGCACATCCCTGTGCTGCCGGGGGGGGACTGCCAAGGCATCACTTCTACATCAGCAAAGGTGACAGACGGTAGAAAGGTGCTCTGACCCCTCCGAAATGGTAATTCAAAAGGCTAAATGTGAATGTCCTTATTCCCTTGTTCACAGGTTTGGGTCAGTGTCCGGGCTCAGGCCCAGCTCTTCTCACCTATCCAGTCTCTAGCACCATTTTCCTCTCCCTGTTCTCAAAATTAAGTTTTAGACCCATTCCAAGAGTACCAAACTGGGTTATTTACTCAAGTTGTAGGTTGCTACCCATTGAGCCCCATGAAATTGAAAAAAAAAACAACACTGGAAGTTAACATTTATCTTTATTTTCTCTCTTATTCTTATTGTTAGTCTCAGTATTATTCTAATTAAACATAAATTGGCAGCCAGAGACCCATCCACATTGAAGACCACTTTCAAACAGACCTTATAAGCCCAGAGCTAATTCACTCTTATTAGAGGTTGGGATTCCTGGCAGAGGGGCGGATGCTGAAATGCTTTTAAATTGGGAGGAAACCCAGCATAAGGGTGCTGAAGCTAAATCAGGAAAGGTTGTGGGGTTTTTTACCAACACTGTTGCTGTGATACAGCTCCTGGGGTGGGTGCGTATGGGTCTGACTCCTACTGAGGGCTGGTCTCTAATGGAAAGGTGTTTTGCATGCCTGCTGTGGCACTTGCAGTACTTTCCATATAGAGGATTTCCCCTGTGTGAGGCTGCTTTTCACCCTGAGGAGGTCCCCATCCCCACCTTGGCCATGGGCTCCAAGACTTGGTAGACTAATCAAGTTGTGTTTAGCATTGTCCCCCTCAAGGCTGGCCACAGGGATACTCAGCTACTGCAGAGACCAAAGGCTTGGTGAGAAGTCTTCATTGCCCCTTAGCCAGCAGCACCAAGGGGAAGGAAAACTTTAACTCAGGGACTTCATCCGCTGTATTGGCCTTGGAGAGGGAAGGAGGTGGATGGAGATGATGGGAAGAGCACAGCTGATGTCCAGGGAGAGCTGCTTGTGTGCTTACATCTGGGGGATGCATCAGTGGCCCTGGGTTCAGCTCCAAACAGGAAGAGGCACATTCCTCACTCGAAATTTAAACACTGCTGGTCTGTCCCCATCTGCCTCTCAAAGGTCCCACGTTTGTGATATCTCATCCCTGTGGGTCCCCTGGAAGGCAGTGTTGAGCTCGCCCATCGGTGAGCGGGGAGCTGGGATTTGCTGGAGCGAGCAAGGTGCTGTTGGCAATGCTCCCAGCGTCGGTCCTGCCAGAAGACCTGCTCTGGGTACTGTGATCGCTACTGGGCTAGTCTGTGCAGAGGAGAGGCTCAGTGGTGGGGTGGGTTCATGAGCTAGAAGCCATTTCTCTTGAAGTACTGAGCTCGCCTAATCACGCTGTTGACGTAGTTGTTGTCTCTGCTGCATGGGTCTTCCTCATAGACCGGGAGATTGCCCATTCTTGCATGGTAGGTGCAGATTCCCCCTGGAAAGAGTTAAGAAGGAGTTGTTTTGGGCTTGTACATAAGAATTAGAGTTTTAAGAGTAAAAATTTTTAGCTGAAAGGCCCATGAATCTCATCAAACATACATGCCAAACTACTTGGCAAAATGCTAACTGAGCACTGTTGTTGAAAAGTGTCTGGTTTTGTAAAATCTTTATTGCTATAATGAAGGAACCCATGACTCTCTCCAAATGCAGGTGGAAACAGCATACTGTTCCCAAAAAAGGGTATAATCTAAAAAGGCAGTATCACAGCAAGGATGGGAGAGTAAATTGTAGCATAGAGTGAACAAACCACCATGAAGATAACATGGACTATAAGGAAACCTGGATCCCAAGATTCCTGGACACAACAGCCTGACATGATAAGTTCATTGTCTTGTGGTGCCTCAGTTTCCCCAGTGGCTTGTGTTCAGTTATTTTCTACCTTAGTTATCCACCTGACAGCTATTTCACATTGCTGATCTGCCAGTTTGGAATTGCCTCTTTTGATTTAGAAAACTGGGTTCGGTTGGGGTTTTTTATTGTAAGAGATGCTGGAAAATCTGCCAGACTGACACTCTTTTTCCTTTAAAAGTGAAACCAAGAAGTGCACAACACTCCCAGCGTAGCTCTTTCTAGTATACAGCCCATGGTGTACCTCTCAGCTGCCGATCCCAGGTCCAGGTAGGATGTCTTGCACGTACTTCATTAATTGAAAGAACCAGGATATTTGAGCACTGATTTATGTGTTCTTCACTGTCCCACACTGCATAAGGCTGCTGTAGCTGCCTGCTGATCTAGAAAAGACAAACAAGAGAATGGGTTTCCCTCTGAATGCAACCCCTGCTGTAGCTTCTTCCTCTTCATTGGACTCTCAGGCTGCAACTCATTGAAGTGACCTTATTCCGGACACTTAAGCACAACCCTTGATTTTAGTGCCATTTTGAATACAGAACAGTCATTTGCTAAGGCAGGAAGCTGGGATATGCACTAAATTACTGTGCTGTTACTCATCCTTATCATGCTGATGTACCTGCATCAAGCCGTACTTCTGCCGTCCCTGGTCCCAGCCGTTGTTCAGGAGCAGGCCCACACGGCTCTCCTGCGACATGATGGCACCAATGAGAGCTGGGTCCAAGCACAGGTTTCGGGCTACTCTTCTAATTGGGATCTCATATCTCCTCAGGCGCACGAGGTCTGCCTCAGCAGTCCTCCGTATCATGGCATATCCTGCAGCGTAGGGAAAGGCAGACTTACACACAGCCCTGTCCAAAACCCTTGCCTTCCCCTTTGTATCAAAGAAGTAGCTCAAATTCTGAAGGAATTGTATCTACACCGAACTGGGCAGTGGAGCTCGAGGAACAAGCACAGCCCTATTGGCTCTGACCGTAGCTGGGAAGCTGCTGTGCCAGTACCCAAGGGAAAGAGGAAGGATTCTTAGGAAATGGGACCGCATGTTCGTGGTCCTGTTCTTCTGCCGTTCCACTGGAAACGTGGCTCTGGAGTCAGAAGAGTGAAATTTCAAAATGGATTTGAAAAAATAGATATGCATTACTACTGATCAGACAAACTGCAGTAACAGCTATGTTCTATCTATAGAAAGGTGGGTTTTTTAAAGGTGTTCTTTTAAAAGCAATTTTGGAACTGTCTGGAAACAAGCAGGTGTGTTCAGATCCATGCTTGCACACTGGCAGTCAAGGTGTCTGCCCTGAATGAGCCCACATCTGAGGTATGTGGCCAAATTCCCGGAGATACCAGCAGTGTGAACCTGACACAGTTCAACTGTGCAATGCATGGGGCAGTAACTCAAGGAAAGAACGAGAGAAATGTGACGTAGTTACCAGAAACTAGTCATCCAGAGGTAGGATGGCTACATACTTGGGACCTTCGCCCTGTAAAATGTGTCTCTGGCAGGTCACCACTGGCCAGCTCAGCCAACATGCCAGCACTCAAAACCTGGCTCTGCACATCTTCACCTTCCAGCATACAGGTCCTGGGGTTTTGTGAGGATGCTGATGCTGAAGTCCTGGCTGATGAAGAAGCCATTTAACTGAAAAGGGGTGGTACTATTTCCCTTTACTCTGAGGCTGAAGATTCTGACTGTAGGACCTGGGATTTGTCCTTCCACTTTCCATCAGATCTGGAGGCTTCACAGCACCCACCATTTTAGGAGAGGAAGTGTCGCTTTCTCCCTTTTGGCCAATTGAATGGCTGCACCACATTTAGTTTGGCAACAACAGTAAGTAAAGCATCTCTCTGTCAGGTAGAAACAGGTTGACAAATCAAGCAATGAATGATACCTACCACAGTCTGGGGCTCTTACGGTTGTGCAGGACATCGTGGGGGCTTGAAGAGCACTTATATCACCATAGCAACTGTAACTCATGGATGGAGCTGAAATATTAAATGGAGGTGTTTGAACACATAAGATCTCAGAGCGGTATTGTACAAGTGCTGCAAGTGCATGCAAGTTGAGCATGAGGGAGTCACCCAGACCTGCAACCCACACCCCCTTGTGTTGGCCCTGCTTGTACAGTTGCTGTTGCTCTCCATCAGGGATGCTATCAAAGAAAGCAGAGAACAGAAATTTGTTCTTTTCTAACTGAATATATTGAAGCAAGTGGATCTAATGAAAATTTAGATGAATATGTGCCTGCCCGTCAGGTCTAAAGGCTGGTGTGGAAGTGAAGAACCACAGTTTCTGCATTTATTTCAGAGGGCTCTTCCCATTTAATGCCCCCCAGTGTCCAGGACCCCTCAGGTGATGGTTGGAGGCACCTGAGCATCCCAGCTGGGAGAGTCTCCTGTGTCCCTCCATAACCTTGTGAGGAATTAATTCAGGAGAATGCTTGCCTCAGGCTGTGAAAATTGCCCCATTTCCTCAGTAACTAAGGAACAAATAGCCTCCAGCTTGCCACATTTGTGAGACCATTTCTGAGCAGGCAGAGAGATTGGATAAGATTAGCTGGAAAAATCAAGAGGAGCTATGTCTGTGACTCCCTTTTGGTTTCAGTCCCATGCTCCAGATGTGCTGGTTTAAAAGACATGTATGGGCAGCCTCATACAGCAGCTGAGGACCTTCAGCCACGCAGGGTTTACAGGGCCATGCAGAAGGGGAACCTCAAGCCTGTCTGCACATCTCCCCTCTGTGGTCCTTCTGCAAACAATTCCCAGTGTGCTTTTGACAGCAACCCGAACCCATCTCACCGACAAGGGCCGAAAGGCCCAGCAAGAGCAGTGCGGGAATCATGGCGATGGCTCTCCTCAGCTGTCCCAGGAGACCTGGAAACACAGCAGTTCGCAAAACATGAAGAAATCACTGCTCATCTTCAACAGCACTGTAGCAAAGTTGGGGCGCCAAAAGCTCCCACCCTGAGGCACCAGACAGGGATGGCATTTGCTGAAGAGGGATTGAGGAGCATAGGTACCTTTTCTGCAGCACGCTCTCCCCTTGGGGAGCTTGGGATCAAGGAGGTTCCTGTTGGCAGCCTGGGCCAGCAGGGAGCTTTTTAACCCCTGTCAGTTCTCACTGCTTGCTCGCATGGCCCCTCCTGAACACCCATAGCATGTCTTTACAATGGCAATGAATGCCATCTTTGCTTCAATTTTATAGGTGTTTGAAGTCTAATGTGCTACAAAATGCATATATCCATTGCTTCCTGTTCAAAAAGGATTTTTTTTGGCTTTTGGGAAAACTTGTTTTCAAAAATCAAGCAATATGACCCTTAATTCTCTGCTAAGAGTATGCAAGGCAACTCCAAGATTTATTTGGTGGAATAATACTTCTCTGGGCAATAACAGCAGATAATCACTTTATTAATAAATGCATCTGTTGTGCTTATTAATAAAATTCCAAAATGTCATCAGATAATACCTATCAAATTCAAAAAACATTGACTGTGCTTGCCTTGCAGGTGAACACATTTAAACAGAGTGGCTTTTATGGCTTACAGATACTTTTTTCCCCCAAGAAGATTTCAAATAAAAAACACACCACGAGTCTTGTAGGCAGTCATCACTAATGCTGTTAACACTTGAAAATGCATTATTGATTTTAATCCTGTGTGACCTTTTCTCTAGACTGCATTTCTACTGCAAACCAGACTGCATGGATGCAGAAACACGAATAGTCCACCAGTGTCATTGGAGAGGCTCCAATAAGTGAGTGAGCCTGTTCAGGCAAAATGTTCACAGATGGAGCTGGGTACATGCAGGAGCTCAGTTTGACCTCTGACACTTACACTGAGTACTTACAAGCCTGAATCAATATAGCTTTTTATAATTTATTATAGCTTATAATAATAGCTTATTATTATTATTATTATATCTATAAATTCAATGGCACATCCATATGGGTCTGCAGCAAAAGCTACAAGCTGTAGCTCTTTCCATATGTAGGAAATTGCCAGATTATAAACCTTTAAGTTACCAGCAATTTTTTCCCCTCTCATCACAAAAATCTCACAGGCCTGAGGTAGAAACAGCATAGCAATCACAGTATTGACAAAATGCTAAATCAAAACAAAATGCTAAATCATAACAAAATAAAGGCTTCTGGCTCTAAATAAATGTTCTAAGAGTGAATTCAGACTCACCCGTGTTCAGTTGGCCTTCCTCTGAGGCAGGTCACTTGATGACTTTTATATATACATGTAGGAAGAGGTATCCACCCTATGGGCTTTGGAATGTTAATTCCTACCTAGTGTGATGACTGTTTTAAAGCACAATAAGTAATATATATTAAGAGCTTAGAACTCTTACGATTTCTTTCATCCAAAGATTTGCACAAGTGGTTGTTAGACTCAGGACAACTCTGTGAGAGGAAATAAATACTGTTTTTTCTCCATCAGTACGCAAATTGCTGCACAATAAATGACTTGCAGAAAGGATTGCAGTGAATCAGTGGCACAGGCTGGGCAAAAATCAGATCCCTGTCTAGTGCTCTCCTTGCTTTGTGCCTGAGTTAGTCTGGGAACATTTCTGGAAGGATTTTTTGTGTCTCACTTCCTCAATGATTTCAGGTTGGCAAGCTTATAATTAAGAATTCTGCTTTCGTATGAATTTTTAAAAGGGTAATTAAAGAGAAACATCTCACTGCTTCATTGCTTACAGCAAACCTAATTCAGGATGGGAACTTGAATACTTTGAGGACAGAGGCAGGGTTTGACTTTCAGATTTAGGGAGTCAGGATGCTGCAGCTGAAATTAGGAGGAAGGAAACTAGTCTCTCAGCAGCTGAAGCTAGTGGGGACACACAGAGGGTCTCTGAAAGACTTGTACCTTGTGACCAAAAGACTTTTCACATATCTAAAACATCTGAGCCACTTCGAGAAGGAAAGATGGTCTGGGAGGCCAGTGCCCTTCAATCCTGTCCTCTTAGACACATTTTTCTCTTCCCAAGACTCTGCCCAGCATATGTGGAGGGTAGGAAGGCAAATTTTTTTTCCAGTAGCTTTCTGTTGATTATTTAATAAATCACAAATCCACCTATTCCCATTGCTCTTTTGGGCTTGAGATGTGGCAGGTAGGAAGCACTGTTTTGGTCAGACACTAATTACTGGTTTCAAAATCAAGCGATGGCTATTAGTCAGTAAAACACAGGAGATGATCAAGTGGGTCTTGTCACCTTAAAAATCAATAAACACAAGTATCGTAACTTAAATCCTGAGATAGTATGAAAGAGGGAACCTTCACTGGAGAACTTAATCCTGTTGTTCCAGGAGGGTTGGAATGAGTTGAGTCTTAAGTATAGAACTCATAATGACATCTTCCCAAGATTACAACAAGGCTAGGCAATCATTTTTTGTGTATGAACCTGATATCTTATTGTGGTACCTCAGAGTACATTATCACTTAATTCTTTTACTGGGGTTTAACATTTCAGACAGTAGAGGTTTAACAGGTAGAAAATAAACTTCACATGTACAGTGTGGCTTTAATATTTTCAAAAGGAAATGGTAACTGAAGAAATTCTGGAGGGGAAAAAAGAAGAAATGATCTGGGGAAAGTTCATAGTGCACAGCTTGATGGCAACAAACCCAGTAGATGTATTCATTTACCTTCTACAGAACAAGGCAATTGATATTAGAAAGAGATGTATTCTCTCAAATACATTGTAGTCATTTGGTATTAATATCCAGTTACATTTTATAAAAACAGCATCATGTTAGCGACAATAAAACTAGTGTTCCTCTGTCACTGAACCTGTGTTCATGCCGATGACATGGGACCTTTTTTTTGAGAAGTAGCCTCTGACCATTGGTAAGATTTCTTTCCTAGTGTGTTGGTCACTTGCTGACAGTCCTTAAGATAAAGTTTTGTATTTAAATATTGTTTGGTTTTGCTATGTATTTTTCATTTATTAACCATGTAACCACATATTTTGTACATTTCACAGTAGTCACATGAATTCTCCTCTGCATTGCATTGCTCTTTATATACTTACTGAGTGAATGCTATGTTTTAAGTGCAGTTATTTTTATCTGTGCTGCTATAAGCTCTTAGGTCCCTGGGGCAGATTCCTTGTATTCCCACAATTTCCAGTGTAAGCCCAAATAAGAGGATATTTTCTCAGTAGCACTATGAAGTGGATTTTTTCTTGCTAAAAACCTCTTTATCCTCACAAAATTTGCTGATTGCCTTACAGAGTAAAAGCCAAAAGCAGGCAGCCTCTATGGAAACACAGTGGTGCTCACATACACTGAATGGAGCAGACCAGTGCGCTTGCCCACGGCACCACCATGTAATGAGAGCTGCACGATGTTAGAAAACACCGTCTTCTGCTGTGGGGCCTGTAAACCCGGAGCATCAAATTCAGGTGAACCACTTAAGTTAAGAGTAGGCAGCATCTGTCGCTACTACAAAATAATTTTTCATTTTCATGGCAGATTTAATTCAGAAAACTACATCAAGAGTACAGTACCAATACATATTCTCTTTGTCCTGGATTTTGGTCAGCACAGCACATGACTGGGAGGGAGGAGGTGGAAAGTTAAGGAAAGAGGAGGAGTTCACTTATCAAATGGTATCTGCATCTTAAATTCAAGAAGCAGGAAAGCTTCCTGATATTCACAGGGGCATCCTGGCAATAAGCTGCAGTCAGTGACCACAGACATGGTTTCTCCATGGTCTGTCACTGACACTGTTACATTGAGTTAGAGACAGAACAGAGTGGACAAAAAAAGTTACCTGACAAAATAGCATTTTCCACTTGTTTTACATAAACTAGAAGGGAGAACACCTGAGATCTAAAGCACACCAAGGTTCAATGCCATCAGTTCTTTCCTACTCACAGATTTTGACTTTGTTTTTTTTTTTATACCCTCATGCCAAGTGAAGATTTTTCATTCCACTTAATGGAGATGTGATCAAAATGGACCATCATTTTTTAAACATGCATTATAATATATAAGCATTATATATTGCACATGTTATTCTCCTTCATGTTGCAGGTTACAGCATCACATGTCACTGGGTGGTGAGAATACTATCTAAAATTACCTGGAACAATGCCACATTAATTATTGTCTCTTGTGAGTTTCAACCGGTTTCATAACATTGACAGGCAGATGCATTTCTCAGGTTGTTCCTTGTGTCTTGGGTGTAATTATAGGTAACATGAGGTATTCACAGACTTTGTAACTGCTTTATAGGGAAGCTGCCCATCACTGCTGACGCACGTTGGATGCCTACCACTAACTGACCAGTTAAAAATGCATCCATCTGTAGCATCATCTCAGACAATCCCTCCAGAGCTGTCCTCCCTAGCTGTTTAAAGAGACACACCCAGTTTAATAATTGCATTTCTACAGTGTTTCTTTTCTACCTCTAGTATACCTGGAAGTAATCATAGAATCACTTAGGTTGGAAAAGATCATCTAGCCCAACCATTAACCCAGCAGTGCCAATTCCACCCCTAAACCATGTCCCTAAGTGCCACTTCTACATATCTCTTAAATAGCAAAATACATATCTTCAAACTTGTAAGACAGAAGGCTCTCAGTTTTCACTGCGTTCAGAAAAGAGCAAGTGCTGAGGGCCCCAATCTCTTCCTTTATCTTGCTTTTCTGAAGAATGCAGATGAGCGTTGAAATAACATTCCACTCTGTCTCTGTTTAGCCACAATATTTATGAGGAAGGAAAAAGTGCTTTCCTTCTGCTCTCTAAAGTGAGATTTTGCATTTTACTGTAGCAAAGGTGTTCTGGCAAAGGGGACACTGGATTGGATGTTACAAGACATCCAGCTTGAATACGGATCTATCACCTAAAGCAAGTCCTTTGGAGTTTGAGCCAGGATCCTGCATGTAGGTCAGGGCCAATCCCAAGCACAAATACAGGGGGATGAATGGATTGAGAGCAGCCCTGAGGAGAGGGACTTGGGGGTGTTGGTTGATGAGAAGCTCAACAAGAGCCAGCAACGTGCACTTTGTAACTGCCCAGAAAGCCAAATGCATCCTGGGCTGCATAAAAAGGGACTGTGACCAGCAGGTCGAGGGAGGTGATTCTCCCTCTCCACTATGGTCTCATGAGATCCCACCTGGAATACTGCATCCAGCTCTGGACCCCCAACGTAAGAAGGATGTGGACCTACTAGAGCGAGAAGAGCCACTAAGTTGATCAGAGGGCTGGAGCACCTCTCATACAAAGACAGGCTGAGAGAGTTGGGACTGTTCATCTTGGAGAAGAGAGGGCTCTGGGGAGACCTTACAGCACCTTCCAGTACCTGAAGGAGGCCAACAAGAGAGCTGGGGAAGGACTTTGTACAAGGGCACGTAGTGATAGGACAAGGGGTACTACTGCAAGAGGGTAGGTTTGGATTTTGGTTGCCCAGAGAAGTTGGTTGCCCTGGAAGTGTTCAAGGCCAGACTGGATGGAGCTTTGAGCCACCTTTTCTAGCGAAAGGTGTCCCTGCCCATGGCAGGGGGGTTTGAACCAGGTGATGTTTAAGGTCCCTTCTAACATAAACCATTCTGTGATTCTGTAACTATTAAGAACATTTCTGTGTGCCTGGAATTAATGATGTAAAGCATTGAGTACTGTCAACATTTTAGACACCAAACAGGAAGCAATTTCAGATTTTTTTCTAGGGCAGCACAGTAACAAAAGAAATAATTAGCAAGGAGGAAGTAGATCAGGAAGGCAATTAATGTTGTTTTGTGTATTACAATCACCTGATTTTCATACAACGTCATCCAGAGAAAAGCCAATTGTTACTGGAGATTGTGTGGTTTGTGATGCATGTAAGTTAATTTTTAAACATTTTTTTATAGGAGTTAAATGTTGAAATCATACCACCAGGCAGGTGACACTTGAACAGGTGGTGCTCAAAAAGGCAAAGGGTATTAACATAGATTCAACACTGAGCTATGTGGCTACTGGATCAGTTGTGGTTTATTTTAGGCAGCTTAAACCATGGCTATAATAACTGATCCAAAAAAATGCAGCTTTACAACGTGCACCTCATAGGATTTCTAAAAGCACGTTTTCTTAACTACTTCCTTTCCATCAACAAGCATCAAATATCAGTGTACATGCACTTAAAATTAATTCACCAAGTTTGAACAAGAAGTTTTTTGGGTGAAGCTCTGGGGTCTTATGTACTACTTCAGCCAGTTTGATGTGTTACCTTTAAATTGATGAAGAAGGTATGAGCATAAGTTCTCTTTTGTAGCACAGGATGCAGAATGGTGCCCTGCAGGGGGTCAGGTAACAAGGAGCATTTGCCAGGCTGCACTGTCTTGGATCACCACAATCATACCGGACAGGCTTATTGGTGAAGGAACCAAAGCATGATCCAAGAACAAAAGTTCAGAGTAGACCTTTTTTTGGCAAATGTGGTGGAACCTATCCTTATTTATCCTTTAAAGGGGGCTCAGGGGCAACATTCCCCTCAGAACATTCTAAAATATTTTACTGTAACATCAAGTACCCTCTACTTCCTATTCCTAGAGAGGCTTTTCTTCAACTCCAGAGTGTGACTCTCAAACAGTTGTATAGAGCTGTTCTAAACAGACTGACAGATCAACCCACTACTGAATTTTCCTTTCAAAAACTGAAATACCCAGCTATTGTATATGCAATGAGTACAAAAGCCATCTTATTTCTGCATCAGCTTGTGCTTATTTGTGTGTGAATATGGGAGATGAAATGATAGCATTCCTCACACTGAGTTGAAGACACCAGCTTTGCTCTTCCATGGAAGACAAAGGGCTTATTTTAGAAACTGTACTGTTCAAAGCCTAAATTTGCTACAGAAAATGACACAGAAAAGTTTTCATTTTAGAATCTCCAGATGGTAAATAGCACAATGGGGGTTACTTGGAACACAGGACTAGAAGGCATCAATTAATCTTCCGAGTTGGCCTCCCTCAATGACACCCATGACACAGTGACTCCCTATGACATTTGCAGGCGATCCAGCCTGCTAACGAGGTCTGAGAGCAGCTGCGTTATTGTCACCTTCTACAGAGTTTGTTTCTTGTCCTCTCTCTGTCCGGGACTAGACTTCTTCATTCTTTCCAAATCCCAAAGCTCAACTCAGCACTTAATTTCTGGAGTGGATTTCTTGAGCAATCACAAGGGAAACACAAGATCAATCAGCAGTCAAAGTGTCCAGTGAAGTCCAAACAATCCAGCATTAAGAGCTGAACAACCCAGAACCTGTTTGGTTATTACTGCCTTCATGCATTTCTTCGATGTTCACTTCATGCAAGCACCCAGCCCAGTCTGAAGCACTAAT